TGGGTCCTTGCACAGGGAGTGTTCTTGTTGGTGTGTTTGAGAAGGTTTTCCCAGGAGATCTTGGAGAACAAGCCCTTCACCCAGCCTCCTGCGAGGGAGGGAGCAGGAGATACGGGTGGGGATGTGTTGTCATCCCTTCAAGAAGTGGTTCCTGAGTGGTGGGAGAGCACCCAGCAGCAGGGAGGGGGGCAGGGGAGCACCCCCAGTGAGGGCAACGACCCCCTGGGTGTTAAGTTGGGATGGTGGCTTTCAGCTTACAGCCCTTGCAACCCGTGTTTGCTGCTGCTGGCTGGAGGGTGCCTGGGAAATGGAGGTGCTGGGTCCATGTCTCCTGTAACTGGGTGCAGGGTCCCGTGTGGCACAAGCTCCAGCACTTGCTGCTGCTCCAGGGTGATGCTAAACTGAGCAGTGGGTGGGCACTCAGGTAGAACCTGGAGTGTAATACGTCACAAGGGCATGGAGTTCTTGGAGTGGGGCCAGAGGAGCCCCAGCAATGCCCCGAGGGGGGAACCCCTCTGCTGGGAGCCCAGCAGGAGAGAGTTGGGCTGGGGCAGCTGAGAGGAGAAGGCTCCAGCTGGGGAGACCTGCTGGGGGTGCCAGGGCTGAAAGAGCCTCATCAGGAAGCTGGGGACAAATATTTTATCAGGGTCTGTTGGGACAGGACAAGGGGGGATGGTTTTAAACTAAAAGGGACAGATTTAGACTAGAGAGAAGGAAGAAATGTTTGCTGCTGAGGGTGGTGAGCCCCTGTCCCAGGCTGCCCAGAGAGGTGGTCGCTGCCCCATCCCTGGCACCATCCCAGGGGAGGTTGGCCGGGGCTCTGAGCACCCTGCTCTAGCTGGGGATGTCCCTGTCCCTGCAGGGGGGTTGGATGAGATGAGCTTTAAAGGCCCTTTCCCACTCAAACCAGTCTGGGATTCTGCAGCAGTGATCATTACTGGGCTCCTTGCTGAGGACCATGATGAGCAGCTCAGCTCAGGGGCCCGTGCTGTGAGCAGGTCAGCTCTGTTCAGAGCCAGGAGCTCTGCAGGGAGACCCTCAGCCAGCAGGGAGCAATTCCCACCCCCACCTGAGCCAGGGCCAGGCCACCACCAGCACTGGAAGCTCATGGAAGCCAGGGCTGTAAACCTCACCTGTGGGTTGCTGGAGAAACACCCTGGGGAGTTTCTGGGGGTTCACGTGGTGGCAGCTGCTCGGCAGCAGTTTGGAGGCTGGTGGCACTTGGAAAATGGAGCTTCAGTGGGTGGTTGGGTGTGTGGAGCCTTGGTGCTGCCTGAGAAAAGGGAAACTGAATGCCTGAGCATCAGCTTGCAGCTTAAAATGTTTGACAGCTGTCAAATATATATATTGTTTTATTTTTAATGCACATTTCAGCATCCAATGCATTTTCTTGCTGATCTGGAGTGTCGTACTGGCCCTGGTAGGATGGACACCTCCAGCACTAGCTGCTGAGCTGGGCACTGAAGAATTCCCTATGGAAAGCCCTTGGTGTTCCCAGAGCTCTCCTTCAGGAGCCCTGGCAGAGCTCAGAGTGCTGGGAGGAGACGCTGGAGAGGTGGAAACCTCGGAGTGCTCTTCACCTTCAACCAAATTCCCACAGCAGTTTTGTCCTTTCCAGGCAATCCAACCTGGAATGGAGACTGGCAGCATTTCTCAGGGTTGGTTCCCTTGAAGGAAAAGTCTTAAAAAGGGTCTTAAATCAGATATTTTCTCTCCCTCTTTTTTTATTTTGTGTGGAATGATTTTCCAGTAGGAATTTCCCTCTGCCAAGTCCCAGTTTCCCTGCAGGCACTGCCTGGCCACAGCATCTCGTTGCTCTACAGCAACATTTTTGCTCTTTCATCCACTGGAGTTGAAATCAGAAATGCCAGAGTGGAGAGCTCATGAATATTCTTTCAGCAGAAAATGACCCATCCTACCTAGATTAAATTTTGGGTCCTTCATCTTAATATCTTCTAATATCCTTCTCTTTCTTTTAATCCCACTGACCTTTACAGAACTGGGCCAGTGTTTTTCATAGCAAGTATCAGTGTTAGAATTTATATGCAGATACAGATGTACGTTTAGATGCAGTTTTCCTGGTAACTTGGAAGATCTGAAATGTTACAAATCGAGGGAAAAAATGTGGTTGCTTTGAGTTAAATTTGGCCTCCATTTGCCTATGGTTTTTAACACTAGAGAAATACATGATAAAGCACCTTCCGAATTTCCTAAACAGGCTGTATATTTCTATCTGAAGCCCATTTGTCTTTATAAGGAGTCAGGTTTGGGCTCTCCCAGACTGGATTCTCTTATATTTAATGTGTGTGTGTGCTCGGGCTCCCTGTTTGTGAGACAAGAGCAGCACTGCAGGAGCCTGAATAGCCCTGAAAGGCCACAAACCCTCTTGATTTGGGGAGCGTTGAGGTGCTGCAGAGATGAAAACTTCATGGAGTCTCTGGGAATGCTTGACTTGAATCACAGCCTTTAAAAAGTTTTGCTTATTATTGTCTGTGCTTTTTCACTGCTCTTCCTGTTGCCTACCCAGATCCAGCACAAGGTTTAACCCACTTAAGAGAGAGATTTTGTATTTTTTTTCCACTTACATCTGGTTTTGTTTCTATAATTTAATGTGTTGATGGGAAAGGTCATTCTGACTCTTTCAGAATATTGCCCTCCCTGCCCCTA